CCTTAACTTCAAATATTAAAAAATAAACCACCCTTTATACCATGCATAAAATTTTCCCAACTTTTTAGAACCACTGATTGATTCTAATTTGTAGGAAATTGTTACTAATCCACACGTTATAAGCATAAACAAGTAAAACACAAAAAGAAGAAATCTTCCCTAAAAATCGTACCCTTGACTAGTACGGGCACTCATCAACATTATGATCAAGCTGTTCTTAAGTGTTGAAGTTGCCGGAAGTGCATCTGGGCTGTTGCGTTACTTGGATCAGAAGCAACAACAGCATTTCGATCCTCAGCTTCTTTCTTCGCATTGTCTCCAGAAATCGAAAGCGCGTCTTGCAGAGACGAGAAAAAGAGGCGAACAAGAGTGCCAACAAGGGGAATAGAGGAGCATATAATTGCAGCTTGTCTGATGTTCATAGCTTAGATGGTAAAGAGTTAAAGAACAGCTTAACTTGGAAATTATGCGGTATCATGTTTTGCTAAATTTATAGCGGAGAGTGCAGTGAAAAGTTGCGTTCTTTTTATGTCAATTTTAACGACAGACGTGACAAGCAAGTGACAAACGTGATGAGCAAGTTGGGAGAATTCACGTGGTAAGCAAGTTGGGAGAATTCTATGTAATTTGAAATTTCAAGCAACCCAAATGGACCCTTAGTAGAAAAAGAAATAAAGAATGCACTAATAGAGTATATATTCTTCTTAGTGACGCTCACAGCTGTCAAGCAATAATAGGTAGTTTCAATTGATAATGATGTTTCAATTGATAATGATGCAATAATTTGAAAAATAATCGTTTTGGCCAATTTCTATTAACTTTTTTTGTACGTCATTGATTGTTTCAGAGAAATTACAAGTTGATTTTAGTGACTTTTTTGCTTGCAAAGAATATTTAAAGAAAGACTTGAACTCGGGAACTCGGTTGGGAGAGATTCCCTTAAAATCGGTGATATTATGCCATGAATGCCGTGACTAACAGACAGATGATTACTATTTGAAAATATTAGTCATCTATGACATGTGCTGACATTGGAACAATATAGCGGGTTCAAGAGACCTTCTATCCTCAATTAGAGGAATAAATTATCTTAACCAACTGAGCTATAAATTCCGTGCATCCATCACCTGAGTTGTTCTCTCTCATCGTGTACACTAGTAGTGGTACAGAATCATATGTTATTTTAGTGACATAAAATGCTTTAGTTTGTGGGATAACATCTTACAAGTTTACAACACACGTGACTGTCACATGATGAGTGTCGTAGATTTCAGCAATATATTTCCAGTGACATGTGAGAATCTCTCGGCTGATGTGGTTGGGTTCATTTGTTGGAGGACAACCAACCATACCACTACATTTTCGTACCAAACCAACCAGATCATGGATCCAACAGTCGCTTGGATTCTTAAAATTCAGAATTCACCTAGTAACGAAAGAATCAAATGCTGTCTTTGTACTTCACTTTTTCGTTCTCTGTTGGAAATTAACCCAAAAACGATGCGATTTAGTCGTTATGCTTACACCTAATGCAGATGTTTTACAAAATGATACAAGGACTATACAAAATAAAACTATGGAATGACCAAAATGTTTATGTAAAATGGGTCTCACTGACCAAATACAGCTTCTGACCATCATTTATCAAATCCACATCAAGAATTTACCTGCATCTTCTTTTAATATTATACCGGAGCCACTCGATGAAAACTCCAGTTGCTCTCCCGCTGTTCTGATGAGCTCTCCAATGGTACTCGGGACACACAACAGAAATTTCATTTCAACTTATCATGTTAAATGTAAGTACAAGGTGTCATGTATAGGAATGTTCATTACGCCATTCGCAAGCGATGTTAACCTATTTTCTTTTGCTTCTTTTTCATCTAGAGATAAAACATGACAAAATAACTTACTAGAAAAATCAATTATTCAGTAATCTGATTTCCTCATTTGGCTACAACGGAGACTTTGTTGGAGATATTTCCTATCCATGAACCTCAACTTTTTGCTTTTGTTTGTTCGAGTAACAAAAGCTGATGGAGATATATCCTGTTCCAAATTCATGACCTATATAATATCGGTGCAGACATAACTTGTTATTGTTTGTTCGAGTAACCAGGATCGCAGAATGAATGCATCCCGAAAATCTTTGGCCTTTGCTTCTTCTTCTTGCAAGCTTCAAGGATTGGGATTGACTTGGTGATCACTTCAAGTTTCAAGCTTCCAGCTTTAGCTCTCCCTCTCTCTCTTTCTCTAACTCTCTCTTTCTCTCTATTCCAAGACTCTGCGTTCTTGAAAAATCAATAATGACCTGAAGAAGTTTGTTATAGAGTGGGCGTTTGTCTGTTACAACTTTCAGGCTATGCCTTCTGAGCGCTCGGGTATACAATTTTCCCGCTTGAAATGGAGTGTGAGCAGATTTACGATAATGCGCCTCCTGCTGAGAAATAATTACAAGTTTTACCAGCCAATTCTTTCCCTTGAGGCTTGTGTGAAGTGATCATGCGATATGGGTATTTTAGACATCATCTACATGAGGGTATCAAGTATGAACAGATTCTTTTTGGGCACTCACTTTGGGAAATACCCATGTTTCTTAGGAAATGAACATTTGTTTTATCGTTAAAATTAACATGGTTTTTAAGTTGTCACTTAATATTACGGTTTAGTAGTATTCTTCTTCATTTGTGGCGAGATATCTAAAGTTCAAATATCAGAAATGACAAGTCCACAAGCTTCTATATGCACAAAAAAGTTCATTACAAATTCATTGTTCAAATTTTGTTTTATTAAACTGTTGATATTTTTATCTTGTAAAGTGTTCTTTATTTTGTTTTCAATAAAATTGTTCTCTCTGATTGTTGTGCCGCCAACATTCATAAAAGACATTAATCGATTTGAAACACAAAGGAGTAAAAGGAGTAAACGTACATTTTTCGCAAATCATAGTGACGATTGTGATAAAAATCCCTATTTGGCACCAAAACAATCAATTGGTCTTCACAAAACCACTTAAGCATTATCTTTTTATTTCATGCATAATGAAGAGTGGATGAAGGATGATGAGCAAAGATGTATTAGAAATGTAAAGGGAAAGGCACACATAATGAGAACTAAAATTAAAAAACAAAAATCTTTGTTGAACTGTTTTCACTTTCGAGATTCTTCTTTCGTTCATTCTTTATTTCAATTTCCCTCTCTCCCATCACCCTCCTTCATCTCTCCTTTTTCTCATATACTTTTCTCATATATATCTCAACACAAAATGTAAAAACAAAATAGTTATGAAACGGTCTTCAATCTCTTTGAAGGCACCTTTTTGCAGATGAATGGTGTGTACGAAGCACATATACAAATGAGCCTGAATATTTTGAACGCGAGGGGCCAAAGTGTGTAAATTTAAAAAAAAAAGATTAATTGTTCTATCTTCTGAATTTCATGTTTCTGCCTTCAATCTTTCTTTTAGAATTCTATTCACATAGTGCGAATATAAGGTGGGTGGGCAAACAAGAATCTAGCATAAATTATATATTAGCACTGTAACCTCCAATTCTGAACCATGGTCTCAAATGATCACCAAAGATCCCCCAACTCGAGCGAGTCAAATTCCTTCTACATGTTTTTTTTCTCTTCATTTCGTTTTTGCCTTAACTTTGGATATTAACAAAAAAACCACCCTTCAAACCATGCTTAAAAATTTCCCAGCTTTTTAAAACCACAGATTGATTCTAATTTGTAGGAAATTGTTACTAATCCACGCGTTATAAGCAAGAACAAGTAAAATACAAAAAGAAGAGTTCTCCCTTATCATACCCTTGATTAATATGGGCACTCAACAACATTATGATCAAGCAGTTCTTAAGTGCTGAAGTTGCCGGAAATGCATCTGGGCTGTTGCGTTACTTGGATCAGAAGCAACATCGACATTTTGATCCTCGGCTTCATTCTTCTCCTTGTCTCCAGAAATCGAAAGCGCCTCTTGCAGAGACGAGAAGCAGAGGCGAAAAAGAGTGCCCACAAGGGGAAGAGAGGAGCATACAATTGCAGCTTGTCTGATTTTCATAGCTTAGTAGATAGTTAATAAACAGTTGCTCGACCTTGTTTAATTTGTAGAATAATTGGATTAAAGAACAGCTTAAATTTATAGTGAAGAGTTGCGTTATTTTAAAGTCAATTTTTCAACAAGTTGGGAAAATTCGATGTAATTTGAAATTTCAAGCCACCCAAACGGACCCTTAGTAGAAAAAGAAACAAATAATGCAATAATAGAGTATTTATTCTTCTTGGTGACGCTCCGAGCTGTCGAGCAATAATAGGAAGTTTCAATTGATAACGACGCGATAATTTGAAAAATAATCGTTTTGGCAAATTTTTCAATAACTTTATTTGTATGTCATTGATTGTTTCTGAGAAATTACAAGTTGGTTTTAGTGACTTTTCTTTATGCAAAGAATATTTAAAGATAGACTTGAACTCGGGAACTCAGTTAGGAGAGATTCTCTCTTGAAATCAATGTCACTATGTGGTGGCGAACGATGCCTACTATTTGAACATATGACAATTATCTTGGCATTGGTGGTGACATTGGGACAATATATTGGTTTCAAGAGAGTTCTCATCTTGTTTAGAGGAATAAATTATCCTAACCAACTAAAGCTATAACCCCTGTGCATGTTGATTTTAGTGATTGATTAACTCAAAACTCTCTCGAGCATCCAGAACCTGAGTTGTTCTCTCTCATCTTGTACACTAGTAGCAGTAAAGAATCATCTGTTACTTTAGTGAGATATAATGCTTTAGTTTATGGGATAACATCTTACAAGTGTACAACACTCATGATTGTCACGTGATGGATGTCGTAGATTTCAGCAAAATATTTCCACTGACATGTGAGAATCTCTCGACTGATGTGGTTGGGTTCGTTTGTCGGAGGACAACCAACCATACCACTACATTTTCGTCCCAAACCAACCAGATTACTGATCCAACAGTCACTTAGATTCTTAAAATTCAGAATTCACCTAGTAACGAAAGAATCAAATGCTGTCTTTGCACTTCACTCTTTCGTTCTCTGTTGGAAATTAACCCAAAAACGATGCATTTTAGTCGTTATGCTTACACCTAATGCAGATGTTTTACAAAATTATACAAGGACTATATACAAAATAAAACTATCGAATGACCACAATGTTTATATAAAATGTGTCTCACTGACCAAATACAGCTTCTGACCATCATTTATCAAGTCCACGTCAAGAATTTTACCTGCATCTTCTGTTAATATTATACCGGAACCACTCGATGAAAACTCCAGTTGCTCTCCTGCTGTTCGGATGAGCTCTCCAATGGTACTCGGCACCCATAACACGATTCCAGGTCTCCTTCCTTCTCTGCTTTCCCATGGGTGGAAAGGGTACACCGTGCACTTCTTTGGGGGCATTTTATCTGCACGTTGCAACAGAAATTTCGTATCAACTTACCATGATAACTGTAAGTACAAGCCGTCATGTATAGGAACATTCATGAGGCCTTCGCAAGCGATGTTAACCTAGTTTTTTTTTTTTTTTTTTTATCAAGAGAGAAAACATAAGAGGTCGCACTTGGTGCGATGGCAAGTGCCTTCGCCCATGAGCGGTAGGTCTCGGGTTCGAGACTTGGGAGCAGCCTCTCCATAAATGGGGGTAAGGCTAGCCGACATTCACCTCTCTCAAACCCTGCGTAAAGCGGGAGCCTTGTGCACTGGGTACGACCTTTTATCAAGAGAGAAAACATAACGAAATCCCTTACTAAAAAAATTGATTTTGTCACTATTCTGTTTTCCTCATCTGGCTACAACAGAGACTTTGTTGGAAATATTCCTATCCTTGAACCCCACCTTATTATTGTTTGTTCGAGTAACAATAGCGAAAAAAAAAAAAAATTCATGTTCCAAGTCCATGATCTATATCAGTGAAGACATAACTAATATGTTAAATCATAACATTCATCATCCTATACCGTCATCTCCTTGGTGTTTTTTTACTAAACGGTATTAACATCTGACCGAAGTGTAAAACCTTCCTATTGTTATAATTTTCTTTCTAGTTCTTCTCTCTAATTTCAGAGGAGAAAACAAACTAGAAGGTCACAAAGAAAATATAAGAGTTTGTCTATACCTGTGATTTCTTGAGCACAGTAAGGGAATTCTGTCAACTGAGCTGCCTTTGCTTCTTCCAGCAGTTTGATTAAATTCTTGTTCCCACACATCCGACCTTCATCTAGTGGGGTATTTCCCCATCTGCAGGCCAGAAAACGATTATATGGTTGTTAAAGCAAGAAGAAAAGTAACTATTTATAAAAACAGTCGTGAAAGAGAGAAGAACAGGTGAAAGAGGTTGGATTAGTAAATTAGGTTAAGTTTCTAAACTTCCTGTCAAACAATACTAGGGAACCAGCATAGAAAAGTATCATTTTAGAACAGTCCCGGTGAGCTTTTCTCAAAGATAATGAATATTCCAACTGTACCTGTCCTTCGAGAAAACGCTAGCCCCAGCTTCTAACAGCAACTTTGCCATTATAAATAGTCCTTCTGATGCAGCTACATGAAGTGGAGTCCGGTGATCATAATCTTTTGAATTTGGGTCAATGCCATATGCCAATAACCTTTTAAGGAGATCTGCGTCCCCCCTTGCAATGGATGTACATATAAAACTACCAGCATTGTCGATGTTCAAGGAGGCCCCTTGTTGGACAAGTAAAGAAGAAACTCGATCATTCCTGTTCTTGATGGCTTCAAGTAAGGGTGTGTTCCCAAAATTGTCTAGAAAAGTTAAACGAATTATTATATTGTGGTACTATGATTGGAAAACAGTTCAAGCCACATAAAAATTGGTATACTGTAAACATACCCTTGATGTTGATGTCTACTCCTTCCAGAATAAGGAAAAGTGTAATATCTTCATGTCCTTTTAATGCAGCGAGATGCTGTGGAGAAGAAATACATCTTTCAGGCAAAATATATCATCATGTCCCCCATAGAAATACACCTTTCAGGCAAAATACAACTTTCCTGGTTCCATGATCACTTCTCCAGCGAGAAAAAATTCTTCATGCAGTTTAATAACCTACAAGATGAAGAAAATAAGAATAACTCATTTCACTAATTCACATTCAAACAGATATATCCATGACCATGGAAGGTTCTACTTCACATTATACGTGGTACTGCACATGAAACTTATGACTTTTAGACACAATTACACCACCTACGTAAAAGTGATGCCACACTGGTTTTTGGTGGCCTATTTGGCATGCAGGCACAAATATTCACAAGATGGTATACGCTTATATCACATGTATTGTTTTCCAAATGAGGTGCCAAATCAAAATCATGCCCATGCAACAGAGGAAGAAGCACCAATTTTGCAGGATTTTTATTGTCTATGACATTAGTACCCAATTACACATACGAACAAACTGGCATTGCACACCAGATCAGAAGGATCCAACTATCAGTGTTTCAAGTGAACATACTTTGTCCATCTATTATGTACATAGAAAATTAATGACTTACAATCCGATTGATGAATTCTGTCAAGCATCCCTTGAACAGAGGAACACTTTCAATGTATGGGAAATATAAAGTTTGCGAAATCTGCAATGAAGAAACAACTAATTTTACTGATAAAGAAGTCTTTCAAAACTTACTCTCTCAACCAGAAACCCATGATGTACAAACAGCCGGAATAACGCATATATATTGGAATACATGAGGTATCTTCTTTTTATTCAAAATCCATAGGAATAAAACCAACGAATTTCTACCAAGGTCTTCAATGCAAAAAAGCAACCCAAGTTTTCTATAAAAAGAACTAAACAAAAAACACACATGTACCCCAATAGGAAATCATATAATGTCAAAAGCTTTGGAATATGCATAACAATTACAATCAAATAATTCTTATGGAATTTATTGTAACCAATTCGTCAATACACAAGGTACACAGAGATCCCATTTGTATCTTACCTTAGAGCGAATTGAAGCAGGAATTTCCTGGAGAACAGCAGCCTCCGTGCAGGTACTCTCATAGTTTAAACGCAAGTGACCCTTGATTTGATTATGGATATCCTTCCCAAGTCTATTTCTGTTCATATATTTGATGAGATCTATCATTTTGTCCCTGAACTTTTCTGTCTTTGATCCTTTTACAATTAACGCCGTCATGTTACCAATCAAATACGCTCTGAGAATCATGTTAAAAGATACATAACCCATTATGAATATCATTTCCCTCAGATTGACTGCATGAATATCTCCATAACCTGTAAAAGAAAGAGTGCTGGTCAGGCATTAAACATTCCAACTGATTACATAAACGAATTAAAAGGTAACTTACCAGTGGCAAAATACAAAGAAGCGTAGCGCTTCCATAGGTCAATGTCCCTGAAGCTTGAATAACTGTAGTCACCTAACTTCAAACTTCCAATCCATGTGTACCCCTCTTGTGAAGCAGGTAGGGTGGTGGCCAAATAGTAGAATATGCAGGCCGCTGTATGCGTGCAGTAGAGTTCAACGACAATAAGCTTTATAATCCTCGTAAACAGATAATTGATACGAATACCCTTTTCTAGGTCATGAAAGAACCTAGTGACTTTGCACACCCGACATAACCTTATCCATAGGAGATACCTCACTTCCTCTCTTCTTCCACAAGCCTATTCCAAAACAGATTTCACAAAGTGAATACGGAAGCAGGACATATTGAAAGCATTATAATAGATAAACTTTATTACTTCAAGAATAAAGATATATGCTTGCAATTTTATATTGATCTTATACATTCTGTACACCTGCCCGCCAATCTCATGAATCGGCAAAACATGAGCATTAATAAATTAACATTTTATGGGAGAAAGAGTCGATGGCCAAGTCACACAAATTGAAAATGGAAGTACCTTGTGGATGTGATCCCAAGGCATACAGCCAAGCAAGTCAATGATAAAACTCGATTTCAAGTACCTGCAAAGGAACATATGGCTTGTAAAATCACCATGGGCATTTGTTTGCTTTTTAAGTTTTAACTAAATTCAACAAATTCCAGTAAGTACTGAGAACTGCTACATAGTTTGTACGGAACAATCACAACGATCCTTTTTTCTATAAACAGCTATATGGAAACGAAAACTAACCGTAGAGCAATCCAGTTGCGCTTATAGACCATTCGATGGGTGTGACTGTCTCGGTAGGCGATGAAGAACTGCAAAACAATGTCTACAAGGAATGCTACCTGTCCTACTACATCCAGTATAAAGAGTCTCTCCCCCAAGGAATGCTACCTGTCCTACTACATCCAGTATAAAGAGTCTCTCCCCCAAACCCCTGAAAAACCCGAACTCAAAAGGTGTGAAGAAGGACGAGTACACTGCCCATAAAAGTATGAATTTCATCCATACCCGATACCACCTGCATTTGGTCTTCACATTTCAGTACCGAGAGAGACGAAAAATAAAACACGAAAATACAAGTATATATATAAATATGTATTACTGCACATATACATAGGAGGAGGGAGAGTGCAATGCCTGTCAGTATGTAATGTAGAAGTAGTTCATTAGAATGGCTGAGGTTTTTACTTGTTAGCTAATCTAGAGATCGGGCCGTTGTCAACCACAGGTATCATTTTGGCCTGCCAGAACACATAGGAGGAATGCTCATCATTTTGGCCACCGGATGCATTATCTATAGGATGTATTGGCCACTTATTGGCTAAACATACAACTGAACACTAAACGTTTCAACTAGTAAACTGGCAAATATCTACGTGTTCGATGCTGCTGTGCTGAATATAATGCCTGTGTACGATACTTATGTGCTGTTTTTGAAGTTCTTTGATTCTGATTTGCCGACAAATTTTGAAATTTGCTTGCTAAACTAGAAAGAACAAAACTGACAAGATTGGTTGAAAGTCTGATCGAAATCTTAGCTAAATTATTGTAAATAGATACTGACATGTGGTGTGTTGGGATTAGTTAAAAATCTTAACAAAAATCTATTCACAAAATAGTACTTTCGGATAATGACACATGGCGTGACAAGATTAGTTAAAAATCCTATCCGAAACTAGAACTATTTTTTTTTAAGGGGTATTTTGATATGGATCCAAAGTTACTAAAAATTAAACCTATTTCAAAAGTCAAAAGTCACTAAAAATTGAACATATTTCAAAAGATGGGCTAGAAAATTGGACCTATTTCAAATTTTCCTTTTTTTTTATTATTCTATAAAAAAAAGTAATAATATTTTAAATGGGATGGGGGCCAGCACATTTTGTAGAATAGAGATGCATTTGGTCAATTACTGTTCATTGAGGTCTATCACTGTTCACTGGGTGGTTTAAATGGGCTGGATGCCAACGCATTTTTTTAAGGATAGAGTTGCTCTTACCATGTGTTATTTAATCAATTTCTCATGTGGGACCCAAAATAAAAATTTACAATTAAATATGAAACGAGTGAAATCATAACTTTTGCCCTTATTTTAGAAAATTACTTTTTAGAAATTGTCTAAAATAATTAAAAATCAAATTTCACTTGCTAAATTGGTTAAAATTTTACATCGAAGACATTGCAATAAAAATTTGACACGTAACATTGATAATTTGGATAATATGGTAAGTCAAACTTGAACTCACTAATCATTCTAATTTTAACTTGTTATTCCATCGTTTCTCAACACTTACAAATCTTAAAGATACACACTCTCTTAATTTTTAACTTTTACAACAACGACTAATAACATTCTAGTAAAATGATCATACTTAATATGATGACTAAATTTTTCACTTAGTAACGACTTAATGATATTTTTCTTCACTTTGATGGTAGGTATCAGATTCGAACGTGTGTATGACGAGTTCAACTAATTTATTCATATTCCCCTTAGTGTTAATATAGGGTTTAGTATATCAGAAAATAAATCTAAAAATAAATTTGGATTAAAAAAAATCCAGCCATCCACGTTTGAAAATCATAGTCAAAACGAAATGAACGGCTAGGATACGTGCGAAATTAGACTCGTAATTAAATGTAGATAGACAGATAATACCGATTTTAATTCGTTACTTGACCGATAAAATAATTATGGAGACACAATATTTAAAAGGAAAAATAAAACGAAAAAGAAACTGAAAGAGGAAGCGTCGTACCAGTTAGCAGGATCCGATGACTGAACCGCCGCCGCCAAGTCGAAGAGCCGTCGCCGAGTCCTAATTCGTTCTTGATTAGATTGAACTGGCTCCCGCACGACGATTTGATTCGGTCCCTCAGATCCTGCACCTCATACTCTTCCTCCTCCTCGCCGCCGCTTTCGACGACTCATCCTCCGTCTCACGGTGGTCCGCCACCACCATTCTCCTCGACATTTTCCCCAAATCGATCAACAAACGAAACGCTGAACAGAAGGAAAGCGCGCGCAGATTCAAAATCACGAGCTAAGAAAACAAATGTAAAAATGAATCACGAGGAGGACGTGGTGGTGCTAAATGATGTGTTCGGTTAGTGAGAAAATCCAAGTACCTTTTTTTCTCCGGGAACTTTGGGATTCGCTGTGAAAAGATATAGCAGGAGACGGCGAGAAACAAGTTGGAGAAGCTGAAAGCTCTGCAGAGCTCTCAAATCCACGCGTTATAAGCAAGAACAAGTAAAACACAAAAAGAAGAGTTCTCCCTTGATTAATATGGGCACCCAACAACATTATGATCAAGTTGTTCTTAAGTGCTGAAGTTGCCGGAAATGCGTCTGGGCTGTTGCGTTACTTGGATCAGAAGCAACATCGACATTTTGATCCTCGGCTTCTTTCTTCGCCTTGTCTCCAGAAATCGAAAGCGCCTCTTGCAGAGACGAGAAGAAGAGGCGAAAAAGGGGAAGAGGGGAGCATACAATTGCAGCTTGTCTGATATTCATACCTTAGTGGATACTTGATAAATAGTTGCTCGATCTTGTTTAATTTGTAGAATAATTGGACTAAACAACAGCTTAAATCTATAGCGGAGAGTGCACTCAAGAGTTGCGTTATTTTTAATTCAATTTTTCGACGAGTTAGGAAAATTCCATGTAACTTGAAATTTCAAGCCACCAAACGGACCCTTGGTAGAGTTTTTTTTTCTTCTTAGTGACACTCCAAGCTGTCGAGCAATGCTAGCAAGTTTCAATTGATAAATTTTTCTTTAACTTTATTTGTATGTCGTATGTTGTTTATGAGAAATTTCAAGTCTACAACACTCATGATTGTCACGTGATAGGTGTCGTAGATTTCAGCCAAATATTTCTAGCGGCATGTGAGAATCTCTCGATTGATGTGGCTGGGTTCGTTTGTGGGAGGACAACCAACCAAACCACTACATTTTCGTCCCAAACCAACCAGATTACTCATCCAACAGTCGCTTGGATTCTTAAAATTCAGAATTCACCAAGTAACGAAAGAATCAAATGCTGTCTTTGCACTTCACTCTTTCGTTCTCAGTTGGAAATTAACACAAAAACAATGCATTTTAGTCGGTATGCTTACACCTAATGCAAATGTTTTACAAAATGATACAAGGACTATATACAAATTAAAACTATCGAAAGACCACAATGTTTATGTAAAATGTGTCTCACTGACCAAATACAGCTTCTGACCATCATTTATCAAGTCCACATCAAGAATTTTACCTGCATCGTCTGTTAATATTATACCGGAACCACTCGATGAAAACTCCAGTTGCTCTCCTGCTGTTCTGATGAGCTCTCCAATGGTACTTGGGACCCATAACACGATTCCAGGTCTTCTTCCTTCTTTGCTTTCCCATGGGTGGAAAGGGTATACCGTGCACTTCTTCGGGTGCATTTTATCTGCACGTTACAACAGAAATTTCTTATCAACTTATCATGATAACTGTAAGTAGAAGGTGTCATGTATAGGAATGTTCATTAGGCCCTTCGCAAGCGATGCTAACCTAGTTTCTTTTCCTTCTTTTTCATCAAGAGGTAAAACATGATGAAATCCCTTACTAGGAAAATCGATTTATCTGTTTTCCTCATTTGGCTACAATGGAGACTTTGTTGGAAAATTCCTATCCTTGCACCCCAAACTTGTTATTAAGTTCCAAGTCCATGATCTATATCGGTGCAGACATAACTAATTCGTTAAATCTTAGCATTCATCATCCTATAACGTCATCTCCTTGGTGTTTGTTTACTAAACGGTATTAACATCTTACTTAAGTGTAAAACCTTCCTATTGTTAGAATTTTCTTTCTAGATCTTCTCTCTAATTTCGAAGGAGAAAACAAACTAAAAGGTCATAATGAAAATATAAGAGTTTGTCCATACCTGTGATTTCTTGAGCACAGTAAGGTAATTCTGTCAACTGAGCTGCCTTTGCTTCTTCCAGCAGTTTGATTAAATTCTTGTTCCCACACATCCGACCTTCATCTAGTGGGGTATTTCCCCATCTGCAGGACGGAAAACGATTATATGGTTGTTAAAGCAAGAAGAAAAGTAACTATTTATAAAAACTGTCGTGAAAGAGAGAAGCACAGGTGAAAGAGGTTGGAGTGGTAAATAAGGTTAAGTTTCTAAACTTAATGTCAAACAATACTAGGGAACCAGCATAGAAAAGCAACATTTTGGAAGAGTCCCAGCGAGCTTTTCTCAAAGATAATGACATTTTTTTCTTCATAAAAAAGATAATGACATTTCAACTGTACCTGTCCTTCGAGAAAACGCTAGCCCCAGCTTCTAACAGCAGCTTTGACATTATGTATAGTCCTTCTGATGCAGCTACATGAAGTGGAGTCCGGTGATCATAATCTTTTGAATTCGGGTCAATGCCATTTGCCAATAACCTTTTAAGGAGATCTGCGTCCCCCCTTGCAATGGAAGTACATATAAAACTACCAGCATTGTCTATGTTCAAGGAGGCCCCTTGTTGGATAAGTAAAGAAGAAACTCGATCATTCCCGTTCTTGATGGCTTCAAGTAAGGGTGTGTTCCCAAAATTGTCTAGAAAAGTTAAACGAATTATTATACTATGGTGCTATGATTGGAAAGTAGTTCAAGCCACATAAGGATTGGAATGCTGTAAACATACCTTTGATGTTGATGTCTACTCCTTCCTGAATAAGGAAAAGTGTAATATCTTCATGTCCTTTTAATGCAGCGAGATGCTGTGGAGAAGAAATACACCTTTCAGACAAAATATATCATCATGTCCCGCATATACGGACGCACACACGATGCTAAGTCACAGATATATTCACATTGATTAATATAAGAGTTTCATGGTATTTCATACCAAGGGTGACCTTCCATCATAATCTGTCTTGTTGGGATCAGCTCCAGTTCGGATCAAACCTTTTAGCTGAAATAGATCTCCGTGGTAAGCCGCACTATTTACCTTCAAAGCAAACTCAGCTTCTTGCTTTCCAATATGAAATGTAATGTCTGACTCTAGTTGTTTCATGCGAGGTGCTTTACCCTGTACCATTTTCAGCCATACGATGGGCACATAAGTAAATCTAATCAAAATATTTCCAGACAGTTGTAGGCACATAGAAAAAGGAACATAAATAACCACAGAAAACTTACCTCTAAAAGGTTGTTCAAGATTTTCCGCCCGTCATAAAAGTATATGTCAAGGATGCTTGTAAAAGATTGTTTATCAAGTCGCAGAAGTCTACATAATTCACACACCCTAACTGTATGAAGTTGAGGAATGTTGCAAAGAATGGAGATTTCTCCAAATGAGCTGTTAGGTTCCAAAACCTCAAGAGTTTCTTCTGTTCCATCTTCCCCTATGCCCACCTCCTCCTGTGCAGATCCAATTTCCCAATTTTCAGTAGAAAAGCTAAAACGACAAGAAATGAAATGAGAAACATGGCATTACCAACTAAATAAGACACACCACTGACTCTAGAGTATGAAATCATACCAGCACACCATGACAGACGAAATAAAGTTGATCCACGACGTTTCCTGGTTCCATGATCACCTCTCCAGGGAGAAAAAATTCTTCATGCAGTTTAATAACCTACAAGATGAAAAAAAATAAGAATAACCCATTTTACTAATTCTCATTCAAGCAGATATATCCATGACCATGGAAGGTTCTACTTTGACATTAAACGTGGTGCTGCACATGAAACTTCTGACTTTTAGATACAATTACACCACCTACATAAAAGTGATGCCACGCTGGTTTTCGGTGTCCTATTTGGCATGCAGGCAAAAATATTCACAAGATGGTATACACATCACATTTATTGTTTACCAAATGAGGTGCCAAATCAAAACCATGCCCATGCAACAGAGGAAGAAGCACAAATTTGTAGGATTTTTATAGTCTATGACAATGCTTGTTAACATTAGCACCCAATGACACCTACGAACAAACTGGCATTGCACACCAGATCAGAAAGATCCAACTATCAGTGTTTCAAGTGAACATACTTTGTCCATCTATTATGTACATAGAAAATTAATGACTTACAATCTGATTGATGAATTCTGTCGAGCATCCCTTGAAGAGAGGAACACTTTCAATGTATGGAAAATATAAAGTTTGTGAAATCTGCAATGAAGAAACAACTAATTTTAAAGATAAAGAAGTCTTTCAAAACTTACTCTCTCAACCAGAAACCCATGATGTACAAACAGTCGGAATAACGCATATATATTGGAATACATGAGTTATCTTCTTTCATTCAAAATGCATAGGAATAAAACCAACGAATTTCTACAAAGGTCTTCAATGCAAAAAAACAACCCAAGTTTTCTATAAAAACAACTAAACAAAAAACACACATGTACTCCAAAAGGAAAGCATATAATGTCAATAGCTTTGGAATATGCATAACAATTAAAATCAAATAATTCTTATGGAAAATATTGTAACTAATTCATCAATACACAGTACATAGAGATCCTATCTGTATCTTACCTTAGAGCGAATTGAAGCAGGAATTTCCTGGAGAACAGCAGCCTCCGTGTAGGTACTCTCATATTGTAAACGCAAGTGACCTTTGATTTGATTACGGAGATCCTTCCCAAGTCTATTTCTGTTCATATATTTGATGAGATCTGTCATTTTGTCCCTGAACTTTTCTGTCTTTGATCCTTTTACAATTAACGCTGTCATGTTACCAATCAAATACGCTCCAAGAATCATGTCAAAAGATACATAAACCATTATGAATATCATTTCCCTCAGATTGACTGCATGAATATCTCCATAACCTGTAAAAGAAAGAGTGCTGGTCAGGCATTAAACATTCCAACTGATTACATAAACGAATTAAAAGGTAACTTACCAACAGTGGCCATGGTTACAATGGCAAAATACAAAGAAGTTGTGTAGCGCTTCCATAAGTCAATGTCCCTGAAGCTTGAATAACTATAGTCACCTAACTTCAAACTTCCAATCCATGTGTACCCTTCTTGTGAAGCAGGCAGGGTGGTGGCCAAATAGTAGAATATGCAGGCCGCTGTATGTGTGCAGTAGAGTTCAACGACAATAAGCTTTATAATCCTGGTAAACAGATAATTGATACGAATATCCTTTTCTAGGTCATGAAAGAACCTAGTGACTTTGCGCACCCGACATAACCTTATCAATAGGAGATACCTCACTTCCTCTCTCCTCCCACAAGCCTATTCCAAAACAGATTTCACAAAGTGAATATGTAAGCAGAACATATTAAAAGCATTATAGTAGATAAACTTTACTAATTCAAAAATCAAGATATATGCTTGCAATTTTATATTGATCTTATACATTCTGTACAACTGCCCGCCAATCTCATGAATCGGCAAAACACGAGCACTAACAAATTAACATTTTATAGGAGAAAGTGTCGATGGCCTAGTCACACAAATTGAAAATGGAAGTACCTTGTAGATGTTATCCCAAGGCATACAGCCAAGCAAGTCAACGATAAAACTCGATTTCAAGTACCTGCAAAGGAAAAGTTAAATCAGCAACGAAATTAAAGTACAATGCCGGATTATATGGCTTGTAAAATCACTATGGACATTTGTTTGCTTTTTAAGTTTTAACTAAATTCAACAAATTCCAGTAAGTACTGAGAACTGCCACATAGTTTGTACAGTTAGAACCCATCACAACGATCCTTTTTTCTATAAACAGCTAGATGGAAACAAAAACTAACCGTAGAGCAATCCGGTTGCGCTTATAGACCATTCGATAGGTGTGA